GCACTGGCCATCGCTCTGAGCATGACAGGGAAGTTTGCCATCGCCATTGCCTTCGGTCTCATCTATTTATACACCTGTGAGCTCTATCCCACCATCATCAGGTGAGAACAGCGTTTTGAAATGAACATATTCAATTGTTGTCTCATGTTGGTGACTTTATTTGGACGTCCTCGACCTGCAGTATGAAACTAACCTGAGAATTTTCTAGTATAAACAAATGGTTCCTTCACACGATCCAGGTCTCTGGCTGTGGGCAGTGGTAGTATGATGTGTCGTGTTGGCAGCGTGGTGGCGCCCTTCTGTGTCTATCTGGCAGATGTCTGGATCCATCTGCCTCAGGTAATTAATATATCTACACATCGTTCACTGTGTGTCGTGTACAATCTTTAATACAAAATTAATTTGTCCTTTGTCACACCTCCGTAGCTCATCGTAGGAATCCTGGCATTTATCATTGGATTGCTGACGTTGTTCTTACCCGAGACACTGGGCAAACCTTTAACTAATACACTGGAGGAGGCAGAGGCTCTGGGAAGTAAAAAGAAAGAGCGCTTGGAGTTGAAAGAAGAAAACCAAACTTAAGCAAGAAAGAAGAGGGAAAATATGCAGCTACAATACATAAAAACAGTAACACCTTACATTTTGGAGCCTTACAAGTAAAGTGAAAAAAAAAATCTTCATCACTGTGTCACATATTACAGTTGATGTATGTTTATAAAATATAGTAGTTACGTATTGATACCATAAAAAAGGGATAAGATAACACTCGTTTGTTATAGCAGCCATTTATTTGTTTTTATTTCTTATTTTCATTTTTTTCCTCATTAAACTGATTGCCAAGAGTCGATAGTTCTAAAAAAAACAACGAAAAGGAGTAAAAAATTGTTACATTATCTGAACAAATTTAAAAACCACCTGTTGTGATTTTTGTTCTTTGTCTCCCCCTTGCGGCCTTTTTGGGCAAATGCTCTACATCAGATGAGCACGTCTGCGGTAATTTGCTGATGTCATAACTTCTATTAAAAAATTGCAGGCCCTTCCACACCAAATACTTTAGTAGGTTGCAGTCACATTTTGTGTATTTTTTCCCCTAACTTTCTCCAATCTCAGGGAATCCTGTTGTGGATGTCACTGTGAAATTCTCATTTGTATTTTACTTTTATATTTTAATATTGTCCTTAATTTCATCTAGTTCATGATGCTGACTTGCTGCTTCAACATTGTTGCCTTATGTCTGAGTGTAAGGTAAATGTTTATGTGAATTTTGTTTTTGATTTATGTCAATATTCTGTACGATATTCAGATGTGTGCATTGAAGAAAACAGTTCATTAATTGTGTTACCGAATGTTCAGAAGTTAAGGTGAGCTCTCTAAATGTTTGGACCAAAGACTGGTAAAAGAAACACAACAGTGCAGACACGTCACCACCTGCTTTTCTTTTGTAAAATGCACAATTAACTTTTCATTTGACCAATACTGTACTTTAAAGAAATAAAAGAAAAGTCAATAATATGGCAAGAGTCATGTGTTCCCATGAACAAACAAATTGTAAGTTGCTTTAGATAAAAGTGTCTGCTAAATGTATTGTAATGTAATACATTTAATTAGTAATTTTTACTTATTTCAAAACATCTGTTAGTGTCCATTACATTTTCTAAACATCTGTCTTAATTTGTTAAAATAACATACCTTCACACAGACCTGGATGCATTGCAGTAATGAGAAAGTTGTCATAAAATACAATAAAATGTAAATAAAATTAATTTCTTTATTAGAAATTCATGTTTTATTAGTAAACTTACTGCCATGGTGTACCTATGATTTCATGACAATAAACCAAAAACAAGGAAGACTATAAAGTGTTGAATCATTTATGCTAAAAATCTCTATTTCTTACTTATAGTAAAAAGTCAAGTTTTAAAAATTTAAAGCCAACCACAATAGTTACATACTTACATATATTGTTTGTGGTGATAGCATAACCAGTATCTAACTTTAGATGGCACTACTGCGTTATTATCAAAACCCTTCTTTGATTCCACTAAACTAAATGAAATAATAAAAACCATAAATGTATTTTCACTGTCACTGCACACTTGTCAGTGCAGCTAAAGGAAAATTCCAGCAACTCTTATACTGAATTGTGCTGTAAATACTGATCGCATCAAATGTGTGCAACTGTTACAAAAATGGCCAAAAAATGAAGCAGCAACACATTGTTTGGAGTAATGGAGTAATAGATCATTACAGTATTTACTTTTAGAAGAAGGTCAAAAGAGAAAAAAAATATTCAAAATATAGGAAGTAAATCCAAGACATATTGTCCTTGAATTTGTTTAAATTATCAGGGAGCAGCAGCCATTTCTGGTTAAGATGCTGACTGTAAACAAACAACACAAGCAATTTTATTCTAGCAGGTTTACTGGTCTGTAGATGTAAATGTGTAATGTGTTTTAGTAAAAACACATTAGATTATTGTATGAATGCCTAAATACAGGCTAACATCTAACTGTTAAGTTATTGTGTGAATGTTTTGATGGGAAATATTCCAGAAATTATCTGGAGCGACAATAGAGGTTTACTGAAAAATACAAATAACAGTTGATAAAATATTTTTAACCTCCATGATTCCCTTTATTCAGACACATTCATTCACTCATTATATTCTATTTTTTGTTTAATTAAAAAATATGTCTAATATGTTTTTATTTGATAGAACCAGTATACTATATTACATAACTATATATCGCAGTGTTTTAGCAATTAGCCTGTGCATAGACACAAATGTAGACTTGGAATATATATGCATTTAGAATATCATTACATATACACATATACTACATAATTAAAGTTATAAGTTTTAATACCTAACTACATTGCAGTGTTTTCGCTGAATGAGCGTCGACATAACGTATAGCGTGTATGTTTTTTAAGTCAAAGGTTTAATTTCTCTTCCCTGCTCATTTAGTGTACTCGCCCCCTGGGGACGGAAAATAAGAACACACTTCGTTTTAACACCTGCCTTGTAGTTAAACAATAGTTTCTTAGCAAAGTCACTAAAACGTTGATACATGTGAAAAGGTTGCATTCATTTATATCTATCTATATATCTTTGATTTATATGAAACCAGGTTTTTACCAAGTATTATTGACTTTTTTCAGACAATAGAATGTTAACGTACAATTATTTATTACATTTTTTTAAGGATTTTAAGTAAAATGACTGCCAGGTTGATGTAGTGTTTTGTTGATTTATTCACTGTATAACTATTTAAAATCATTCATTTTGGTCTAGCATCCAACTTAAAATGAGTTGTGATGAATCAATACATATTTCTGTTCCTACCTGCTTATTTGCAACACAATAATTTCTTTTTATTTGGTTTATTTTTTTTAAACAAAAACTTTAACTCTTTTTACTTTAGTTTTTTTTAGACTTCAGACTTATATTCTATATTCAATATACTCTATATTCAAACGGCTATTGAATATATCATAGGTACATAAGACACAAATTAGTTCTTGATTAGCAGCTACAAGGTAATGTGCAAGCATCATTCACTGAAAGGTTGTTCTGTTATACCAAAAATGTCACAGATGTGTTCATATTGTTTATCTATCTGATTTTTTTTTTTTAGATTTTCCAATTTACATAAATTGGTCTCCATACAAATAATACATGTCTTCTCAAGCTGATGGCAACATGGGCACTTTTGTGTTTGCCAACACAAACAAACCCACATCAGGGTCATATGTTCCTGCACTCAAGTGCCACTCACTCACCTCTGCTTGTTGGAAGCTCAGATACCCCGGGACCCCTGCTGCATCTCACCGCTCTATTGGCCTCAAGTGTTCTCAGTTGCTGCTGAGCTGCGTAGAGACCTAAGTCAGGGAAAAAAAGAAAACAATTTCTGACATATGATCCAGCATCTGTGATGTCACCAACAGCTGACTTGTCATAAGATATTCATGAGGAAAACCAAGGGAGTGAATGAGGAGAAAGCTTTTATTTTTTAGGCAGACCCCCAGCCGGAACATTACATCCAACTGCTTAGATTATAAACTGAATGACTGCCATTAGAGAGTGATTCTATAATCCAGCATAATGACATAAACTATGGATTAACAGACTTTGACCCCACTTGCAGATGTATTATAAGCTCAATTTACACAGAATATCCCCTTTGAGAGTACATGTGTGTGTTTGTGTGTGTTAATACCTGTCCTTTGGGGCATATGTTTACTCCTTGTTCAACAAAGCACCACATTCACTGCTCTGAGGGTTGAGAGGTCCCTAATCTGAGCCTGACCTTGAGCTAGTTAACTGACAGTTTAGTCTAAACTGTTCGGGGTCTCAGACTCGCGGCCCGCAGTACAATATTTTGTGGCCCGCACCTTACTATGAAAGTATAATATTAGTGTGGCCCGCGGAGAAAGTGGACCTCCGAAGAGCCAATCAGCAAGCTCCCGCGCGCCGTCCCTTGTCGGGGCTAGGCTAAGCTACACCAGCTTCGTGCACTTCACGCTTGCAACAACAGCACGGCGTGTAATAAACAGCCAGACAGCAGTCGCCTTTGCGCTTGCCATCTATCGTACTTTCTCCCACGAATGTCATTATCAAGCGCAAAAAGAACGGCGACTGTTACCGGGTTGTTTATCGTGTACGCTGTAGTTACAGGTAGACGCGTGTGACGGGGCACCTGTAGCTGCTCTGACATTCCCCGACCGGAGCGCTCTTC